CCAAACTTAAAGCCTGTTCAACAAGAAAAACATTGTCCCTGGTACTGGAAAACTATCGAACTACTTGGTGCTAGTGAAGTCACAGGTACTGGAGGAGAACCTACAACTATCATTTTACTAAGGCAGCACAATCACTAACTACATTATTATTGTCTTTATACCCAAAGATCAGCACAGTTCTCACTCCTCATCAGGGAAACTACTCTTTGAAACATATGAAGATTAGTACAGAAAACCACAATAGATCAAAATACAGACTTGAGGAGTTTAGTGACAAGTGATACACCTAAAACACAACTCTTACACCTAAGGCCTAGGGATCGTTTAGGAAGAGGAGTTGAAAAGATTGTATGAGTCAGAAAAAACAGCAAGTTTTCTGTAAGGTTGTGTCTGCTATAAATGCCAGACATGTAGCTACACACATGAAGCCTCACCAACATGTCTGTCTAAACATGAACTGAACAAGAATGACACCAATAGACATTAATGTGAAAAGGAGAAAGCTCAGGAGGCATCAGCCCTAACATAGAACTACAGGTAACTAAGGAATGCTGAGATTAAGAGAAATAGACTTCCTCAGGGAAGAGTATACTAACTGGTTATCCAGTATCAAATGGCTAACCCTAAAAATGTATGCATACAAGTCATATTATATGGATGGATTGGGCTGCATTTATATATTATATTTAGAAATATATTTATATATGTATACAAATGAGTACATATATAACAATTCAAAGAGATTGTGTACTGTGGGATGGTCTGTATGTCAAATGTGTTGCTGATTGGTCAATAAATAAATCACTGATTGGCCATTGGCTAGGCAGGAAGTATAGGCGGGACAAGGAGGAGAATAGAGCTGGGAAGTGGAAGGCTGAGAGGGAGACACTGCCAGCCGCCATCAGGACAAGGAAGATGTGAAGTACCGGTAAGCCACAAGCCACGTGGCAAGGTATAGATTAATAGAAATGGATTAATTTAAGCTGTAAGAACAGTTAGCAAGAAGCCTGCCACGGCCATACAGTTTGTAACCAATATAAGTCTCTGTGTTTACTTGATCGGGTTTGAGCGGCTTGGGACTGGCGGGTGAGAGAGATTTGTCCTGACTGTGGGCCAGGCAGGAAAACTCCAGCTACAAATGGCGTCCAACGTGGTGGCAAGAGTTTCCACCTAAAAACTGAGAAAAAAAGATTCTAAAAGGGAGCTAAAAACAGTTCCTAATTGTCTCTCTCAAATGAGCGGCAGCTGCCGGTTTGAGCTACTGGCGGGTTGCTGGCGTGCGCACTCGACCTGCAGTATGGTGGGAATGAGGCCTCTGCAAGTGGCACATTAAGCTGTGTGGTGGATTTAGCCTTTGCTAGTACAAAACAAAACAAAAAAACGGTTTCTGGGCTACACGCTGCTTTGATAGAAGCATAGACCCACTATTTCTGAGAGTTGATGGCTCCCAGAGCTGGCGGAAAATGTATCACCGCCATTTTGGGAAGCTGAAGTGGGCGGAGCCAGCAGCCACAGCACCAGCGCCGTTTCAGGCTTAGAAGGCTGCAGTTTAAAGCAATAGGTTCAAGCTAGTATAAAAAAATAAGCCACGTAGAGATGACTATTACACAGAGAGTCTGGATTGTGTTGTCTTTGGGATTCTTAACTACAGAGAGATATTTGATTGTAAAGGAAGCTGAGTTAAACCAGTATGTATATTTTAAAGATACTTTGACTTCAAAATTTGGATGTAAGGATATGTTGCTTTGGAAAAGAGTCTCTTTTGTTTCCACAGAAAGCAAGAGGCTATGGATTTGTTCCAGAGTAAGATACATCAGGTTTGACCAGCCAAGACCCCCTGAAAGGTCTCCGATGACACCATGGCCCAGATGATCCAACATCCAGAACCGTTTCAAGACAACTGGCTCAGATGATACAGCCTCACGGACTACTCCATGATCCTAAAATTTTCTTTGTTTCCCCAGAAGATACAGCGCCCCCCTCCAGCAGGAAGTAGTAAGAGAAGCTACGCCCAAATTCCCAAATATACCAAGCTGACTTTGGAGATGTGTAAAGGTTAAAACCTTCCTTTTTAAGAAAAGAAAAGGGGAAGTACTGTGGGATGGTCTGTATGTCAAATGTGTTGCTGATTGGTCAATAAATAAATCACTGATTGGCCATTGGCTAGGCAGGAAGTATAGGCGGGACAAGGAGGAGAATAGAGCTGGGAAGTGGAAGGCTGAGAGGGAGACACTGCCAGCCGCCATCAGGACAAGGAAGATGTGAAGTACCGGTAAGCCACAAGCCACGTGGCAAGGTATAGATTAATAGAAATGGATTAATTTAAGCTGTAAGAACAGTTAGCAAGAAGCCTGCCACGGCCATACAGTTTGTAACCAATATAAGTCTCTGTGTTTACTTGATCGGGTTTGAGCGGCTTGGGACTGGCGGGTGAGAGAGATTTGTCCTGACTGTGGGCCAGGCAGGAAAACTCCAGCTACAATTGTGAACTTTAAAGAGACCAAGAGAGGTATGTGGGAAGGGTTGGTGAAAATTGGAGATACTCGTAAGGAATGTCTCTGATGCTGGTCTTGGAATAAAGGGGACCCCATTTAGGTTTTCTCTGTCTAAACATGAGAGGACCTTCTCACGCAACTCCAGGAGATCTCAGGCATGGGCTTGTAGGCAAATGAGCTGTTGCAACAATAGAAATTCATTAGTTGGTTAAAAAAATACAAATGCATCAGTGTCATGAGAAACTCGGAGATCTATACAGCCATCACCTTCCCCACTGAGCTCACTGCCAGGGAGATGCTGAACCTTTTAACTTAACCTGAATCAGACATGCCTCTGTTCTTTTTCGGCCACAGGAATTTTCCTAAAAGCATCCATAGTCAAATGATCAGTTTTGAATGCTATTCTACAAAATACAAGTAGGAACTGATTGGAAGGCCATGATCTGTCCCTTCTGACTTTCTGACCATGTTCCATAACCACTGAAGGAGCTCTGAGCAAGGACAGGAGAAAACCAATAGCAATCTAAATGAACCTAATCTCATAGCTCAGCAGCCTGCACTCATGGTTAAGACAGCAACATTTCAAGCTCCCAAAACAGACATTTCCTTTGATGTGTGTCAACAAAATGTTCAAATTGTTATCTTATTCTAACATAAAGTACACTTTCCATCTCTCTTCTAATTCATGTTGGAGATTCTTATTCTCCTGTTCTACATATATTTCAAAATGAATCCACTTGCATGTCCTTCCACTGCCTTTTTTTTATATTATAGTTCATTTCCACAATGTGAAAAGCTGCCCATGTGAAATAAATACTTGGTTCCAAAATTATGGCTCCAAGGATTCAAAGTGAGCGGATCATGAGTGCTCTGACTCAATTACTAGATGTATCCATTGCTGTGTCATAATTAAATGGCATTATTGGGAGCTTGCGGAAAGTATGAAGTCAGTGCTAACTGAGGAACTAGAGGAATGCTTCTAAAGACTGTGTCCAGTCCCTGGCTTCCTCCTACCTCCCTTGGCTTCTCAGCTGCCATGAGGTAAGCATCTTTCCCCTCTCATGCCCTTCTGCCATGGTATTCAACCTCAGCCTGGCAGAGCTGTGTTTGTAGGCACAAACACATTATCCAAGTTTGGACACACCAATTCCCAACCAGATATCTTTAAGGTATTTGGAGATCCCCAGCAGTTTTATGTAGTCTGTAACGCACTTGCTCCCTGCTGTTGTTGCTCAATAAGTTTCTTAATCAGAGCGCTGATGAGATTAGTCTGCTAATTCTTTACACAGGAGCACAAAGGATTGTCCTCTAAAACCACTAAATTCTATTAATCGATATGTGATGGAAAGACTGGAGAGCAGCACATGCTAACACAACGTTACATCCAACATTAGAATGGAGAGAGGGTACCTGGTCTCCACAGTTGGAAAGCAGTTGAGGGGTCTTCAGAGGGAGATGTGGCCCCAGAAACACGGGCAACAAATATCACATTTTCACTCCTTTGTGGGTCCTAAATATGTTGTGTGCTAACTTTGTATGTATACATGTACGTGTGTGTATGTGTATCTCTTTATGTGTGTTTGTGTGTATTTGTGTATGTGGATATGTGTGTGGTATATGTGTACAAATGTGTGTATGTACTTATGTATATATGTATGTCTCTGATAAAAATGCAGGACATTACATGGATAATGTAAAAATGTGTAACAGCAAGAAAGGGAAGAGGAAATGAGGAAAGTCAGTGGATATGGTCAAAATATATGATGTACTTGAAAGACATTGCTTTTATGGTGTTTGTATGCAATGAATATATATTAATAAAGAAATTTAATGTGAAGCAAGATTGCTGAGAGGGCAAAGACACTTGTCACAAAGCCTGACGACAGACCTGAGCTTGATTCCAGAACCCACACTGCAAAATAAAGACTCATGTCCAAATTGTCTTCTGACTGCACTTGTGTACCTACATACATGTACACATGCATGCATATATACACAAAAAAATGTAATTAACTAAAATGTAATTTAAAAGTAAAAGAATTTATAAAATGGAAAGAAAAAACTTGAGAAATATTGAGCAGTAAAGAAGTAAAAAAGTCCTCTAGATACTAGAAAAAAAGAAACTTTCCTAGACCAGCAAGCTGAAGTGATGTTTGCCTACATCCATCACTTCTGCCCATAGAGTTATATTTTGGACACCAGAACTGCAGAACCATAAAAATACAAATCTCTAGTATTGAAGAAACATAATTTGTGGTAATGTGTTTCAGAAGGACAGAAAGATAATACTGGGATCTTTCCTGCATTTCCATATATACGTTTTTCATACCAAAAGACATAAGAGACATTGAACTCATTATATTTTGCTGGGCTCTGCAAACTTTTACATCAGTGTTTCAGGCACACTTGTTCTCAGGCAGAAGGGGGAAGTGTGCAGGTCCAGGGCTGTGTGGTGCAGGCAGCTGGTGAGACTGTCAGAGGAGGTTTTGTTGGAGGCTGAAGCACTGTGGGAGGAGTACTATAAACCTGCAGACAGTAGTAATCTGCCAGGTCTTCAGCCTGGACACTGCTGATGGTGAGAGTGAAATCTGTCCCAGACCCACTGCCTGTGAAGCGATCAGGAACCCCAGTGTTCTGAGTGGATGCAAAGTAGATCAGCAATTTAGGAGACTGCCCTGGTTTCTGCTGGTACCACTCTAAGTGGTTCTTCTTGCTATTGCTGCCAAACAGACTCTGGCTGGACTTGCAGTTGATGCTGACCTTCTCTCCTGCTGACACAGCCAGGGAGGATGGAGACTGGGACATCAAGATGTCCCCACAGATACCTGTAATCATGAAAGGACAATGAACATGCACAGATACACAAACACACATTATGACAGTTGATTTGTTGTCATTTAATGTCCTTATAATATCATATTATCAAAGTATTATTATATAAGAAATATTATGCCCTGAGACACCTTGCAAATTTCTTATATACAAAGAAGTGACTCTGGTATGATTATAATAGTTTGCGGTTTCTCACCAGACACCCAGCGCAGCAGGGACATGAGAACTTGGATCTGTGACTCCAACTTGCTTCCCCTGCTGTATGATGCAGTTTCTCACGGGAAAGTGCTTGTTTATAAATTCTGAGCAGCTGGGCTGGCCTGGAGGGGCCCATGCAAAGCAGTCAGCAAATACAAAGGCAAATGCCTGGGCAGTTTGTATGAAAGTGGCTGGTGTCAATCAACAGACAAACATACCATCACAGAGAGCATGAGCAATCACTGAAAGGGATCCATTTACAACTTCCCAAGAGAAATCTACTAGGTGCTCTAATAGCAACTGTGGGTTATAATCCCAGACATAGTTAAATCAGGTGACTTTTGCAGAAATGTGAGGAGTGCTATCTTAGACTGACAGTCCTAGTGAAATCATAAGATATGCTCTCAAAAATTGCAACAACAAATTAGGAAACAGAGTAAGAAAACATGCAATAAAAGAAAAGAAGAGAGGGAGGGAGAGAGGGGGGACTGGGTCAAAATTTGTTATTGCCCATCTGCAAAGCCACTATTAAACTGAGGACATTGGACAGTGTCTCAGATATTGGCCTCCAGTTTCAGGATAAGCATGGGACAGAGATGCAAAGAGCAGCCCTGAATTTGCTCTGTGGAAATCATGGGGGTCATGAATTTAAGACCTGGATCAGAGAAGCTTTAATATGGAAGCAAAGATAATCTCAGCAGAAACTAGCAAGTGTCATCCCCACAACTTTGATAACTGAGAGATGGCTCTAAATTTGGGAAAATGGAAGAGGAATAAAAGAAACCAAATTTCTTCAAGAAGTCATGGCTGTAGACAAACACTGCCAAGAGTGTTTATTCCAGAAATGCATATTCCTTGGTAATTTAGAAATTAGCTATATTGAAATGAGTCAAGGTGGTCTTTCTGACATAGTGAACAGATAAAAACCTTGCCAGAAGGGGGCATAGCCATCCCAAATCAAGCAATAATTTTACAAAGACCAATAGACCACAAGATCATAGATTTTTGCCATCGAAAGGAAAAAATATTTAAGTATGAATGAAAATCAATAGCAATAACAGAAATCAAAGAACCTTCCAAGATTCAGAGTAGTGAATCATGAAAGCATATATAAGAAGTACACAGTACACAGTATTCTGTGTAAAGTACAAAAAACAAAATCAAAAAAAAGTATCATGACAAGGAGTTGAGATTCACATCTGTAATCCCAGAACTAGGGAGATGGCAGCAAGAGGACCATATGATTAAAGCTAGCCTGCGGTACACAGCAAGTTCTAGGTCAGTCTCTGTTATTTCCTATGTCCATCAGGTCTGTTGTGTCTGGAAGACACTGTTTCCTTGATGTCATCCATCCCTCTGGCTCTCACAATCTTTCGTTCTCCTCTTCCACAGAGATCCCTAAGCCCTCAGGGAAGAGTTTGATGAAAACATTCCCTTTAGGACTGAATGTTCTAAGGTTTCTCATTCTCTGAACCTTACCCTGCTGTGGGATGTTCTGTATGGCAAATGTGTTGCTAATTAGTCAATAAATAAAACACTGATTGGCCATTGGCTAGGCAGGAAGTGTAGGCGGGACAAGGAGGAGAATAAAGCTGGGAAGTGGAAGGCTGAGTCAGAGAGACACTGCCAGCCGCCACGATGACAAACAGCATGTGAAAATGCCGGTAAGCCATGAGCCACGTGGCAAGGTATAGATTTATAGGAATGGATTAATTTAAGCTGTAAGAACAGTTAGCAAGAAGCCTGCCACAGCCATACAGTTTGTAAGTAATATAAGTCTCTGTGTTTACTTGGTCGGGTTTGAGTGACTGTGGGCCAGGCAGGAAAACTCTAGCTACATTACCCACTTGTGAGCCTGTATTAGTTCTTATCTACTACAGGAAGAAGCTTCTCTGATGGTAGCTGAGCAGGTCACTGACGTATGGATATAACAGAATGTTATTAGGAGTCATTTCATTGCTGTGTTCCTTTAGCAGAACATAGTATCTGGGTTTCCTCTAGGTCCATGACCTATCTAGGCTCAGGTTCTTGGCCACCAGAACAGTGTCAGGTATGGTTGCATTCTATGAAGTGGGCCTTAAATCCAATTACCTAGAAGTTGGTTATCCACAACCATTCTAGATCATAAGGTTTATGGCTGGGTTGGTAGTCACCTTTCTCTTCTGGTAGAATGTAGATTATCTTTCAGCACCATGAACACTAGTCAGTAGGGGGATGGGCTCTAGTTAGGCACCAGCGCAATTTCTTTATGTTCAATGAGATATGTAAGGAATGAAAGAGAAGGGCAAGGGAGGGAACACGAAAGGACCTGGAATTCTTAGTTCAGCTTCTCAAATGAGGTTCCCTACTCAACTCCTGGGGTTGCTGATGCTCTGGATCTCTGATGAGGAAGGAGGAGAGAAATAAAGTGAATGGGGATGCATGGTGATCTGTGGGATGCTGCTCCCACCCATGTGTGTTCAGTTCACATACAACATATGCAAATTCGGGTCTTATGGGATTTAGACCTGTGGTCTTCAGAGAGATTTGACAAGAAGGACCTGGGATCTGATGAAGATTGTCAAATAGAAGGAGCGTGATGTTATGAGCAAATTCTAACAAATGGTTTACAAATATTGGTCCTTTTTAAAAATTGAACACTTTTAGTTCATAAGTCACAGTAAATGTTAAATTAAGAAATAGATTGCCCTATTGCATATGACATTGAATTTCTTTCCCCGATGAACTTATGTCCTACTTATTTAAGACCCACAGGATATTTTGAGATGACCCAAACTACACTCTCTCAGTCCATCTTTGGAGAGCCAGTCTCCATGTCCTCAACTCTAGTCAGAACCACTATTTTTTTTTTTTTTTTTGGTTTTTCGAGACAGGGTTTCTCTGTGTAGCTTTGCGCCTTTCCTGGGACTCACTTGGTAGCCCAGGCTGGCCTCGAACTCACAGAGATCCGCCTGGCTCTGCCTCCCGAGTGCTGGGATTAAAGGCGTGTGCCACCACCGCCCGGCCAGAACCACTATTTAACTTGGCTTCTATATAAACCAGTCCAGTCTTCCCAGCTCCTGATCTATGAGACTTCCAGCTGCAGTCCCTGACTGGCTCAGTGGCAATAGGCCAGGCAAATATCAGCAGGGTGGTACCTGAGAATGTGAGAGTTTATTACTGCATTAAAAATTTAGGAAGTCTTTATACAGGGTGACTTCCATGAATAAAATCTGCCCTGCTTATGGAGACCCAGAGTCCATTATCAGAAATTCACCTCCTGGTGTTCTGACACCTTGAACTTCAATTGCCACCTGCTGCTCCTTTAACATGGACACCTGCATCTGATGCTGCATCATAATACCCACAACAGTTGAGTGTTGTGGGTATTATGTCCTTCGAACAGATAAAGAACTTCAGAGTGGACTTCTATCCACTGCTGTGGGTAGCATGGATTCCATTGGTTCACTTCCAATGATAGAAAGCAGGTGTTCCAGTGGCTTCGTTATTAAACTGTATACCCTCTCCTTAGCTCTTTCCGTATCACTTTACCCACCAGGTAATTTTGATATGACTTCCCACGGAGGCCTTCTCTTCGAGAATTAGGAGAAATCTCAGTTCTTCTCTTGGCTTACTGTTTGAGTTCTCAGAATGAGGTTCCTTCGGCATAACTTGGGGTGCTAATGTTCAGGATCCCATGTGAGTTCAGAGATAAGGAAGAAAAGCAGCACTTAGTGAGCTTTAGGGCCATGCTACTTCCCCTGTGTCATGAGAGATGAGCAGGATTTGTCATTTATGAGCAGGACAGGGATATTGCATTTGTGAGAGAATGAGTCAACAAACAACAGGGATCTGGACTCTGGTGATGGTGATCACATACAAAGGGTGAAATGGTATTTGAAACTCCTGGGAGGCCTTTTATTGCATAAGAACTTTAGGTTATATTCAAAATTGGATATTGTGGGTGTGCAAAACAAAATCACCCAGTACCCAGAATAGAATGTCAGAAAATGCACAAATATTTGATTGGCTAATAAATTCATACGACCTCATGCTAATCTGTCATTCTCTCAGGATCCTCTGGAGATATTGAGATAACTCAGACTCCTATCTCTGGCTATCATCAGTAGAGACCTGAGCTCCATCTCTTAGGTTAAATCATTGCTTCCTACTAAGTGATATAAACACCTACTTGAAATAGATAATACATAAGCCAGAATAGTGCCAAAAGCTACTGATTTATAAGATTTCCAAACAGGAACCTCAGGGTCCTGACAGGCTCAGTGGCAATGGGTCTTGACTGGAGATGAAGCAACTTACTAAGTGCATATTCTGTCAATAACTGATAAAGTTATTATGCAGTATAGATCAGGTTTCTAATCCTGTAATATGGTTGGTAAAGTCAGGACATTCATACCCAAGTCAGCAGAATGGAACATGAGGATGATGTTATTTATTACTGTGTACAAGGCACACAATACCCTCATACAGTGCTATAGCATAAAATGAAATCCCTCCTATTTAGATGGACCAACTGCCATCATGTTTCACTTGTCTTTGGAAAAATCATAGGAAATTATTAAACTTGTATAAGAGGGAGAAAACAGATCAACAAGTTACAACTGAGCTCTTTATCACATGGAAAACACAGCTTCATTCAGGCAAAGCCTTAATATTACTTTCAGCTCCATCATTCTAAGCATGTCAATATGGAGCAGAAGACTAAATATTATCAAATCACTTCTGAATAAATACATATGATTGAAGGTAAAGGATTGTAGATGTAACCAACGGTCTTATAAAATAAGAAACACAGAGCCAATTCAGAGAAGAAAGCCAAGAGGTTAGAGCTAAGAGCCTCACCCTTCCTGATTCAGGGATCCTCTCCAGCCAAGAGAGCTCTCCGAAAAGGACCTACTTCCTGTGTGTCTGTCTTTAAAGTCTTCCTGTTCTGCCTTGTCATTGGTTGTAAACCCAAACATGTGACTGCCTCGTCACTGCCTGAATGTACCGCCCTCCAGGTCCTTAAAGGCGTGCACCACCGCCGCCATGCACTTGCTATGACTCTAATAGCTCTGACCCCCAGACAACTTTATTTATTAACATACAATTAAAATCACATTTCAGTACAAGTAAAATACCACCACAAAGGATGATCCAGGATATCAATAATTTGGGTTCTTCTGAAGATGGTTAGTGACTTCTATATGATCTTTTGTGGCATGTGGATTTTTCACATTTTTTGACAATGGGATAGAAAGAAAAGCAAAAATATAAAAATCACTTCACCTAAATAACAAATTCAAAAGAAATCATAATAATGACTATAAATGAAGGTAAGGCTATACAGAAAGAGCAAGCAGTATCTGCTGCTGAAGGGACTGCACACTGGTATGGGCACTGTGAACTTCATTCAGTATTGAGGGTCCTCAAGAAAACATGGAACTAACATACGCTTCAACTAACCCTTCCCTAGGTATATTCCTCAACAAATGTAAATTACCATAAAGTAGAAGTATTCATCAATGTTCCATTGCTGTGAAGAGACACCATGGCCCTGGTAACTCTTACCAAGGAAAGCATCTAATTGGGCTTCCTTACAATTTCAGAGCTTTAGTGTATGGTCATCATGGCAGTGAGTATTGAGGGATTCAGGCAGACACAGTGCTGGAGGAGTGAACTGAGTTCTACATCCAGATCTGCAGACAGCAGGAAGAGAGAGACTCTGGGCTTGGAATGTGCTTTTTGAAATCCGGAAGAACACCCAAAACAACATACCTCCTCCAACAAGGGCACATCTCCTAATCTTCAAATAGTACCAATCCCTAAAGAATTCTCTTCTACAAAAATACAAGTAGCGCCAGGCGGTGGTGGCGCACGCCTTTAATCCCAGCACTTGGGAGGCAGAGCCAGGCAGATCTCTGTGAGTTCGAGGCCAGCCTGGGCTACCAAGTGAATTCCAGGAAAGGCGCAAAGCTACACAGAGAAACCCTGTCTCGAAAAAAACCAAAAAACCAAAAAAAAAAAAAAAATACAAGTAGGAACTGATTAGAAGGCCATGATCTGTCCCTTCAGACTTTGTGGCCATGTTCCATAACTACTGAAGGAGCTCTGAGCAAGGACAGGAGAGAACAAATAACAATCTAAATAAATGGACCTAATCTCATAGCTACCTGCACCTATGGTTAAGGCTACCAACATTTCAAGCTCCCAAGATAGATACTTCCTTTGATGTGGGTCAACAAAATGTTCAGATTGTTATCTTATTCTAAGGTAAAGTATGTTTTCCATCTCTCTTATAATTCATGTCGGAGATTCTTATTCTCCAGTTCTACTTATATTCCAATCGTGAATCCACTTGAATGTCACTCCACTGTCATATATATATTAGTTAATTTCTGCAGTGTGACTCAAAAGGCTCCTATGTGAAATATTTGGTTCCCAGCTTATGGATCCAACTATTAAAAGTGAATGGATTGCCAGGCGGTGGTGGCTCATGCCTTTAATCCCAGCACTCGGGAGGCAGAGCTAGGCGGATCTCTGTGAGTTCGAGGCCAGTCTGGCTACCAAGTGAGTTCCAGGAAAGGCTCAAAGCTACACAGAGAAACCCTGTCTCAAAAAAAAGTGAATGGATCATGAGTGCTCTGACTCAATTACTAGATTTATCCATTGCTGTGTCATAATTGAATGGCATTATTGGGAGGTGGTAGAAAGTATGAAGTCAGTGCTAACTGAGGAACTAGGGGAATGCTTCTAAAGACTGTGTCCAGTCCCTGGCATCATCCTACCTCCCTTTGCTTCTCAGCTGCCATGAGGTAAGCATCTTTCCCCTCTCATGTCCTTCCTCCATGATATTCAACCTCATTTAGGACCACAGCAATGATGTTACCTACCTTGGGCTAAAACAGAAACTGTGAGCTGAAGAAATCTTTGCCCTTTAAGTTGTTTTCCTGAGATGTTTTGTCACAATGAAGAAAACTCTAAACTCAGCACAGTCCACATCACTTCAAGATTTTCCTGGGGAAACACCTGGCACAGCTGTGTTTCTAGGCACAACCACACCATGCAAGTTTGGACACACTGATTCCCAAGAAGATAGCTTTAAGGTATTTGGAGATCTCCAGCAATTTTATGTAGTCTGTAACACACTTGTTCCCCACTATATCTCCAAAATAGGTGCTTGATGAGATTCTTAACCAAAATATTGATAAGATTAATATACTTCACACAGGCGCACAAACGATTGCCCTCTAAAAACACTAAATTCTACTAATTGATATGTGATGGAAAGACTGGAGAGCAGCACATGCTAAAACAACATTACATCCAACATTAGAGTGGAAAGAGGATTCTTGGTCTCAACAGTTGGAAAGCAGATGAGGAGTCCTCTGAGGGAGATGTGGCCCCAGAAACATGGACAACAAATATCACATTTTCATTCCTTTGTGGATCCTAAATATGTTGTGTGCTAAGTTTGTGTGTGTACATGTATATGTGTGCATGTATGTGTATCTCTTTATGGGTTCATGATCATGTATATGTGTGTGTGTGTGTTTGTGTATGTGGATATGTGTGTGGTATGAGTGTACAAATGTGTGTATGTACTTATGTATATATGTGTATGTCTGTAATAAAAATACAAGAGATTACATGGATAATGTAAAAGTGGATAACAGCAGGGAAGAGAAGGGGAAATGAGAAAGGTTGTTGGATATGAGCTAAATATATGATATACTTGAAAGACATTGATTTATGACATTTGTATGCAATGAATAAACATTAATAAACTCAATGTGAAGCAAGATTGTTGAGAAGGGAAAGACACTTGCCACAGAGCTTGAAATCAGACCTAAGTTTTATCCCCAGAACCCATATCACAAAAAGAAAGACTCATGTACATATGCATACATGCATGCACAAAAATGTAATTAACTAAAATGCAATTTAAAAGTAAAAGAATTTATGAAAAAGGAAAAAAAACCTTGAGAAATATTTAGCAGTAAAGAAGTAAGAAAGTCTTCTAGAAGCTAGAAAAAGAAAAAAAGAAACTTTCCTAGATCAGCAAGCTGAAATGATGTTTGCCGACATCATCACTTCAGCCTATAGAGTCATATGTTAGACACCAGAACTCCAGATCCATAAAAATATAAATCTCTAATACTGAAGCAACAGAATTTGTGGTAATGTGATTCAGAAGGACAGAAAGATAATACTGGGATCTTTCCTATATTTCCATATATACGTTTTTGATACCAAAAGACATAAGAGACATTGAACTCATTATATTTTGCTGGGCTCTGCAAACTTTTACATCAGTGTTTCAGGCACACTTGTTCTCAGGCAGAAGGGGGAAGTGTGCAGGTCCAGGGCTGTGTGGTGCAGGCAGCTGGTGAGACTCTCAGAGGAGGTTTTTGTTGGAGGCTGAAGCACTGTGGGAGGATAACTGTGTTGCTGCAGACAGTAATAATCTGCCAGGTCTTCAGCCTGGACACTGCTGATGGTGAGAGTGTAATCTGTCCCAGACCCACTGCCTGTGAAGCGATCAGGAACCCCAGTGTCCCGAGTGGATGCAAAGTAGATTAGACGTTTAGGAACCTGCCCTGGTTTCTGCTGGTACCAGTTCAAGTAGTTCTTGCTATTGCTGCCAAACAGACTCTGACTGGACTTGCAGTTGAGGGTGACCTTTTCTCCTGCTGACACAGCCAGGGAGGATGGAGACTGGGTCATCAAGATGTCCCCACAGATACCTGTGATCATGAAATGACAATGAACATGCACAGAAACACAAACACACATTATAACAGTTAATTTGTTGTCATTTAATGTCCTTATAATGTCATATTATCAAAGTATTATTATGTAATAAATATTACGCCCTGACTCTGAAATAATTGTAATATTTTTTAATTTCTCACCAGACACCCAGAGCAGCAGGGACATGAGAACTTGGGTCTGTGACTCCATCTTGCTCCCCCTGCTGTATGATGCTTTTCTCACTGGAAAGCCCTGGTTTATAAATTCTGAGCAGCTGAGCTGGACTGGAGGGACCCATGCAAAGCAGTCAGAAAATACAAAAGCAAATGCCTAGGGGGTTTGTGTGAGAGTGGCTGGTGTCAATCAACAGACAGAACTGCCATCACAGAGAGCATGAGCAATCACTGAAAGGGATCCATTTACAGCATTTCCAAGAGAAATCTACTAGGTGCTCTAATAACAGCTGTGGGTTAAAATCCAAGACATAGTTAAATCAGGTGACTTTTGCAGAAATGTGAGGAGAGCTATCTCAGATTGTCAGTCCTAGGGAAATCATAAAATATGCTCTCAAAAATTGCAACAACAAATTAGGAAACAGAGTAAGAAAACATGCAATAAAAGAAGGGAGAGAGATGGGAGAGGGGCGTTATTGGGTCAAAATTTGTTATCGCCCATCTGCAAAGCCACTCTTACACTTCGGATAATGAACAGTGTCTCAGACATTTGGCCTCCAGTTTCCATTATAAGCATGGGACAGAGATGCAAAGAGCAGCCCAGAGATCGCCCTGTGGAAATTATGGAGGTCATGAATTTAAGACTGGGATCAGAGAAGCTTTAATCTTGAAGCAAAGATAAACCCTGAAGAAACTAGCAAGTATCATCCCCACCACTTTTTATAACTGAAAGATGCCTCTAAATTTGGGGAAATGGAAGGGAAATAAAAGAAACCAAATGTATTATGGGACTTGGAAACAAGTGGTAGGAATAAAAATTGTGTCATCTCCTTAAAAAAAAAAAAGAAAGGAAACCAAATTTCTCCAAGAAGTCATGGCTGTAGACAAACACTGCAAAGAGTTTTTATTCCAGAAATACATATTCTATGGTAATTTAGAAATTAGCTATATTGAAATGGGTCAAAGTGGTCTTTCTGACATAGTGAACAGATAAAAAACTTGCCAGAAGGGGGCATAGCCATCCCAAATCAAGCAATAATTTTACAAAGACCAATAGACCACAACATCATAGATTTTTGCCATCCAAAGGAAAAAATATTTGTGTGTGAATGAAAATCAATAACAATAACAGAAATCAAAGAACCTTTCAAGATTCAGAGTAGTGAATCATGAAAGCATATATAAGAAGTACATTATAGACCCAGTATTCTGTGTAAAGTACAAGAAACAAAAATAAATAAAATATCATGACAAGGAGTTGAGATTCACATCTGTAATCCCAGAACTGGGGAGACAGTAGCAAGAGGATCATACGATTAAAGCTAGCCTGGGGTACACAGCAAGTTTTAGGTAAGTCTCTGTGATTTCCTGTTTTCATCAATCCTGTAGTGTATGGAAGACACTGTTTCCTTGATGTCATCCATCCCTCTGACTATCACAATCTTTCCCCCTCCTCTTCCACAGAGATCCCTGAGCCCTCAAGGAGGAATTTGATGAAGACATTCCCTTTATGACTGAATGTTCCAAGGTCTACCACTCTCTGTACCTTGTCTACTTGTGATGCTCTGTAGTAGTTCCTATCTACTGCAGCAAGAAGCTTCTCTGATGGAAGCTAAGCAGGACACTGACCTATGGGTATAACAGGATTACGAGTCATTTCATTCCTGTGTTCCTTTAGCAGAAATAATATCTAGGTTTCCACTGGGACCATGACCAATCTAGTCTCAGGTTCTTGGCCACTAGTGCAGTATCAGGCATGGGTTGTATCTCATGGAGTAAGCATTGAATCCAATTACACATAAGTTGGTTGCTTCCACAAACATTCTAGATCACAGGGTTTATGACTGGGTTGGTGGTCACCTCTCTCCTCTGGTAGAATGCAGATTATCTTTCAGCACCATGAACACTAGTCAGTAGGAGTGAAAGTTCTAGTTGGGCACCAGCTCAATTTCTCCATTTTTAATGAGATATGTAAGGGATGAAAGAGAGGAGTGAGGGAAGGAATACAGGAATGGACAATTAACACTAAGAGCCATTTGAGAGACCATATGGAAACCTACTTCAGTAGAGACTTCCTAACATGTAAACATATGAAAGAAATGTAAGTGAAATCAGCAAATAATAAAGGTATGTCAAAACTCAACTAGACATCTTTCACCACCACGTGAAACCTCTAGTGTCAGGAATGGGTTACATCTTAATAAGTTGTTGCTCAGACAGTCCCCATGGAAACCCCAAACAACTCTGGCTGTTGCTTGCTCTCCACAAACTGATGACAAAGACCTATTGCTGAAGAGACTTGTTTCTTTTTAATTACAGGCTGAGGGAGAGCCACTGAGTTGCCTGTGCAAAGGGCACACGCACACACACACACACACACACACACACACACACACACACACACACACCTGTAACCTTGGGCTTCTGGATGCTGTCATAACGGGACAGGGATGTACGTACTGTGTATTCCCCACAGATCTCAGACATTCACCATGGGATTTTGTAGGCTGGTTCAAGAAATATGGATTTTATATCTATTGGTTTTCTTTCAAATATAAAAGATATTTATATGACTTGCCTCACCCCAGGGGCTCCTTATTTTTGTCTGGCTCTTTTCACCTTACACACCATATGTTGCTAGAGTTTTTCTGGTCCTGCTTGTCCCACAGTCAGGACAAATCTCTCTCACCCGCCAGCCCCACAACCACTCAAACCCAACCAAGTAACCACACAGAGACTTATATTACTTATAAACTGTATGGCTGTGGCAGGCTTCTTGCTAGCTGTTCTTATATCTTAAATTAACCAATTTCTATTAGTCTATAAGTTGCCATGTGCCTTGTGAATTACTGGTACCTTACATTTCACTTGCAATGGCGGCATCTCTCTGCTCAGCCATCCACCCCTCAGAATTCTCTGCTTATCCTGCCTATACTTTCTGCCTGGCTACTGGCGAATCATTATTTTGTTTATACAGAGCGATATCCATAGCACTTTCCTTTTTCTTTTTTTTCAAAAAAAAATAGGTTTTAATTTTCACATGGTAAAATTACATATAGCAAAATAATTATCAAGCAAGAATTGCAGTTTGATCCTGCCCTGGACTTCCCTTCTGGACCAGAGGTAAGTGACCCGGCTCAGCCTAGACCCCATCCCTGGGCATCAGCCACTCTGGGGAAGACATGCCCAACTTGGCCCCAGGCTCTGGCCACTGGGCAGGTTCCCTTCTAGCCCTACCGGAAAGGCTCCCCTTCTCCAAGACCCACAGCAGACCCTGCAATCTCCACGCCCTGCCCCCACGCCCATCTGTCCAAGACCCCAGCCACTTCCTAAGACTGAGAGACTGGCCCCCAGCTCCCATTCTGCCACAGACTTCCCTTCTGGGCAAAAGCTCCCATCCTGCCCTGGACTTCACTTCTGGACAAGAGCGCCCAACATGCCCTGCACTTCCTGTCTGGACAGAGCTCTCATTCTGCCCTGGACTTCCCATCTGGACAAGAGCTCACATCCTGCCCTGGAGTTCCCATTTGGACAAGAGAGCTCCCATCTGGAAATGAGAGAGAGACTTCCTGAATCTGTCAGCTCTGTCTAGACCAAGTGTGCTGATAAGACCAAGAACGAACCACAAGGAGATGGGCAGGCATCAAGACAGAAGTACATACAACAAAATGAAGAGCAATACAGCATCACCAGAACCTAGCCCTCCTCTGAGAGAAACAATCAAAGGGACCTCTTGAAACTGAGAAGCTTTTGTAGAGCAAAGGATATGGCCAACAAGGCAAAGCGACAGCCTACAGAATGGGAAAAGATCTTCACCAACCCTACATCTGACAGAAGACTGATATCCAGAATATAGAAGGAATTCAAGAAATTAGACATCAAAATGCCCAACATTCCAATTAAGAAATGGGCTATAGAACTACCACTCTTGGGCATATACCCAAGGAATGCCCAATCATACCACAAGAGCACTTGCTCAGCTATGTTCATATCAGCATTGTTTGTAATAGCCAGAACCTGGAAACAACCTAGATGCCCTTCAACTGAAGAATGGATAAACAAAATGTGATACATATACACAATGGAATACTACTCAGCAGAGAAAAACAATGACATCATGAGGTTTGCAGACAAATGGATGGATCTAGAAAAAATCATCCTGAGTGAGGTAACCCAGACTCAGAAAGACTCAATAAAATACTGGCAAACCAAATCCAAGAACACATCAAAAGCCTTATCCAACAAGACCAAGTAGGCTTCATCCCAGAGATGTAAGGATGGTTCAACATACAAAAATCTGTCAATGTAATACACCATATAAACAAACTGAAAGAAAAAAAACAAATTATCATCTCATTAGATGCCGAAAAAGCCTTTGAAAAAACCCAACATCCCTTCATGATAAAGGTGAGATCAGGAATACAAGAAACATGCCTAAACATAATAAAGGCAATTTACAGCAAGTCAACAGCCAACATCAAATTAAATAGAGAGAAACTCAAAGCTATTCCACTAAAATGGGGAACAAGACAAGGCTGTCCATTCTCCTCATATCCATTTAATATAGTACTTGGGGTTCTAGCTAGAGGAATAAGACAACAAGAGGGGATCAAGGGTATGCAAATTAGAAAGGAAAAAGACAAACTTTGGCTATTTACAGATGCTATGATAGTATCATCAAGTGACCCCAAAAATTCTACCAGGGAACTTCTACACCTGATAAACACCTTCAGTAAAATGGCAGGATACAAGATTAGCTCAAAAAAAAAATCAGAAGCTCTCCTATATACAAATGATAAATAGGCCAAGAATGAAATCAGAGAAACATTACCCTTTACAATAGCCACAATAATATAAAATACCTTGGGGTAACTCTAACTAAGCAAATGAAAGACTTGTATGACAAGAACTTTAAGTCTTTGAAAAGAAAGAAATTGAAGAAGATATCAGAAAAATCTCCCATGCTCATGGTTAGGTAGAATTGACATGGCAATTTTAACAAAATCAATCTACAGATGCAATAAAATCCCCATCAAA